ATCTAATTTCTAGCACAATGTTGCTGCCTCTTTCCTCTCTGGAGAATGGTGCACACCACAGCCAGCTGAGGCTCCTCATGATCTACTTTGTGATGTTGGAGATCTGAGCTAGGCAAATCCCAGGAGCCGAGCGGGCAAAGTCACACCGCAGAGCTTTCCGTACTGCTGTCAAAGGAAGATCGTCCCCGATGGATCCTTAAAGGGTTCCACTGTGTGTTTTAATGTGTGCATTTTATATTTTACAAGACAGAACCAAAGTCTCCTGACCCAGCATTGGAAACCGGATTGCTCTCCACTGGATCTTTCTCTGGATTTGACATTTCAAAGCAGACCTGTCCTCCCTCACCTTCTCTGTCTGACATCAGGATTATCTGAGCGACAATAAATATAGAGATTACATTTGCTGTACTCATGTTAACTCCACCAATAACTTGCATGTCAGTTTTGTTGTAAGCCGAGTCCCTTTCCTCTTTTATCTCTTGTGGACTCCAGTGCCGAGAGATTCCCAGCAGAGCTCTTCGTCCTTTCCAGCAACTGCAATCATTGCAATTCCACACAATGGTGTCGCCTTCCCATGATGGATTCTACATTATAGAGAACACATGTTTGTTGTAAAAAAATCTAAGATTGGACTGACTGGCTACTGGGTTCTGCAAGATTTTATCTAGTCCAACTGTATAAATCCAATGTTATATACAAGTTGCGGCCTGCACAGTGCCGGTCTGGATAGTGGCGGGTCACCGACGAGGAGGTAGCTGGATAATGGTGGGGCACTGACAAGAACAAGGAGGTGACTGGATAATTGGGGGGGGCACTGACAGCAAGAAGGTGACTGGATAATGAGGAATGGCGGCACTGAAAAGGACAAGGAAGGTTGTGATGACATAATAAGGGTGGCAACACTGACACGAACAAGGGATAATGAGGGGTGGAAGCACGGTCAAGGACAATGCGATGACTGGATAATTGGAAGTGGGGACAATGACAAGGTGGTAAATGAATAGGGGTGGTGGCAATGACATGCACAAGGTGGGGGCTGTGTAATGGAGGTGGGAGCACCGACAAGGATAAGGTAGTGACTTGAAAATTGGGATGGAGGAACTGACAGGAACAAGGTGATGAGTGGATAACGGAGAGTGGGGGGCACTGACAGGGACAAAGTGGTAAATAGATAATGGGGGTGAGGGAGCAAAGGCAGCAATTCAAAGTGCCAACAACAGAGAAGGCCCAGAAATATTAGTTGTTAGCTGTGATTATTAGACACGTGGGCTCCAGGGATTTGTCCTCCTGGAAACATTAGAATATTCTCTGTTAGTTCTGCCTAGGTGACCAGCTCAGGGGGACCAGATATTCTCCACCCTAACTGGGGAGGATATGGTGGAGCAGGTGGCACCGGCCATACATTTGAAAGAGATATCCACCTCTAATAGAAAGGTGGGCTGAAAATCACTACCAACTACGGTATATCATGTAAATGTCGCAGTGTTGTCACCTAATCAGCTTTTCATGTCTCTTAGTGACATGTTACTCCATTGCCACCTGGGCAATTGACACATTAAGGGTTGGGTTGGCTTTGGTTTGCTTTAAGGGGGTTCTACATTCTAATACAAGTCCATGGGAATGCAAAATCTGCTTGAAGCAGGTCAAATGCAGATCAGAAGGAGGTCAAATGCCCCCATCAGTGAATTCAGAAGTATCTCAGAAGTGTCTACAACGGCTTTCAATGCAACAAACCTAAAGCGCCTCGACAACAGCACTTATGTCCAGCTACAGCGTGTTCAGAACATTTCCAGGGTTCTTTGCATAATCTGGAACAGTTCAGACTGTTTATTACAATGGGCGAGCACCGCAGCACGTAAAACTCCAGCAGTCACAGGGCAATAATAACCAACATGTCTGTAAGATGCAGAAGAGGAATAGTGATGCCCGGAGTCAGAGAGGACACCAGCAGAGACACGAGTCAGTAGAGGGGCCTCAGATCAGTAAGAAGGGTATAAGTATGTCACGGGAGTATTTCTACTATAGCATATAAAGTATTTCTAAGGTCTGTGTAGGTCTGTGTAGGTCTGAGCAGATCTTTTAGCTGCAGCCAACAATAACAAAGTGATGGGAGATCTACTCCAGCCCATGTACACACAATATGGCCAGTTGTCCTTACCTATGCTCAGACCATGTCTATATGGCCAGCTTGAGTTGAACTAACAGTCCCAGGTTGCTCTGCTATATTGCAGCTCCTCCACAAGTGGTGATCTATCCACCGGCTGCCCCGTCACATCCATCATATGAACGAGGAGTGGGGACGTCGCTTGTAACACTCGATGGTGGCTGGAAGCTAATAAAGCTCTTGAAATAGACATCAAACGTCTACAGATTAATAAAACCATCAGGCCCCAACCCATCCGTCCCTCCCGCCACACGCAGAGGGTGCAGCCAGAACATACACATCATGCCTTGCAGTCAACACACCCAGCGTCCTTCCAAACAATTCATACAATGGTAACCCTCATCAACATCAACTCCAGACAAAACGATTTGCTTCTGAAGTGTCCGATCCTGATGTGTCACCGCTGAGGAGGTCACTGTCACAGGGGGTCACGTGGACAGGAAGACCAAAAGACATCAAAAACGGATGATCTAACCCTTGGCTCCTATATCAAGAAAGAAAAAAAAAAGAAGAAGAAGAGGTCTGGTCTCCATTTGGGCTTTAGCCAATCGGAAATCTGGTTTGTTGCCATGGGTTTTGGCACATCCTGACAGCTCCTAGGTTTTCCCGGCCGCTGCACGAGTCAATACCAACCATCACATGACCACAGGCACTTCACGCGCCACCTATTGCGCTGTAGGACATCTTGGCTATGCTCACCATAAAGACTGATGGTGGTCAGTCATACATCAATCATCCAACTTGCAAAAAAGATTTGTTTTCTTCCAGCCTGCGATATAAACATTCACGCCGAGGTCACCGCTGTGTTCACATTTATGGCAATGTAGGTAGGAAAGTGGACAGATATTTCCCACGATGGTTATTTTAGTGTAGGTCAACCTAAAATACCTAATGCAGCCTAACAGGCAGCTGATGACCATTTATATCAGGGACATCAGCCAAACCAATCCAAATCTGCCCAATGCTGCGAATCGCACATCCCTGTGCAAACAGACTCCCTGCATGAAGGTCCCCTGAAAACACAACCCGCCGCTCACCTAAAATAACCAACACCGCCTGTCTCGGTCTGGTGTAGACAGCTGGTGACCATTGACTTCAAGGCCGTCAACCAATCCAATCAAAATCTGGCAGATCAGGTGACATTCAACCTATGGGTACCTTAAGTTTGCAGAAATTCCTCAATACCGTCAGCACAGAGGAGGGCAACTCCGGCCCTCCAGCTGCTGTGAAACTACAAGTCCCATGAGGCATTGCAAGACTGTTACAGGCATGACTCCCAGAGGCAAGTTGGGATTTGTAGTTAAAAGCACAGCTCGAGATGCCCACTCGCAGCAAAGTGGAATTTTATCACACAGGGCAACAAAACATGAAGCCTAATAAAGCGCTCCCCCCAATTATTGGATAGAGACGCTGACATAAGACTGGAGAGGGCCCGCTGCGGGTCACACCGGGGAAGATTACATAGATGGAGATTCTGTGTATACTGTACAGAATGTTCTGCATCTCTAATATTACAGTGATCAGACGACCCCAATGCGGCGAGTGGCGCTCTCCTGCGAGTACGGTGGATCGCGGTAATCATTATATAATACATATCGCGCTGCTAATAACAGACGTGTAAGTATATGTTGCTGAGTCCCTCGTCGCAGTGCTGCTTCCCCCCTCCAATCGGAGGATCATTTGTAATAAGATGTGTGAGCAATCCTGGTCTCCATGGCGACCGGTGATGCTGCAACCGGAAGGATGATTAGAGACGGGGCCCGACGGGCTGTGGGAAGGGCCCATGACTTTCTGTGCCGGATCGGTGAGGTCGGCGTTCCCATACACAGCATGGATAATAGAATTATCATAGAGAGGAATCTGTACACAGAGCAATACATGTACGGAGAGCGCAGACCGTCCCGGGACATCAACCAGGACACGTCACATGACACAAAACTTCTCCAGCTGTGTATGGACTGACTGCTTCCTGAATTCTACACACACTGCTCTACTGCATGTCAGAATGACGTCTATCCCCATTTCCAAATACCGAGGATACACACAATACATACACTGCACACATCATACACAATATAAACTGCTCTTGACACACGGCATGCACTGCACACACAGACTACAGCTGGCGGTCCTGGGAGATGTCAGCTCTTGGCATACGTGACATGCCGGGCGGTGGGAACTGAGGGGGGAGACAGGATGTTCAGCTATAAAAGATGTATAAACTCTGATCAGAGCCATGTGAGGGGCTCCCAGGGGTGATGCTAAGCCGAGGAGGACGTGGGATAGAGATATACAATGGCCGTCTCCCTGGGGGGACATGATAACACATGACAGGCACGGGAAGGAGATAAAGCTCCATATTGTGTCCGATTCGGTGTGCAGCTCAGGGCAGCCGAGGACTCTCACCTGGTTCAGCCTTCTCCCAGGTATCACTGAACAGCCCTTCCCCCTTCCAGGCACATTCACTCTGCAAGCCTCTCGATGTCATGTCATACTGTCTCCAACATGTGGAGACCTGACAAGATTTCTCAATCAGATTCATTTCATGAGTCACGTGTCTCCCTCCCAGGATCCATGAACTCACCCTCTGACCCCGGGGACACCGCCACCGCCACGTGCTGCCAACAGGAGGAACCTGACAAACCGGCTCGGGGGAGCATTACAGCTGAGAGAGGGGAGGGAGGGGGGGGTGGAAATTATACGTAATTCACCTCCAATAATATTCCCTCTCGGTACCCCCAACACCCCTCCAGACACAAATCCCTCATCCCTCCATCGTCTCCGGGCAATGCATACACAGACCAGCCACAAATGATTGGCGTGGATCCATCGGGGGATGCAAAACCGGCTCAGGCTGAAAAACTGGGCGATTTCCTCACTTCACACATTCCAAGTCTACAATTGTATAGGAGAGACGGCGAGAGGTCAGAGAGCGGATCTCAGGGATGAGGAAGATGAGGTCACGTCACAAGCATCACATTCATGTGATATGGAGGAAACCACGGATATACATATAGAAATCAGCAGAGTCAGTGAGCGGGCCACATATCACCGATCGGCAAATGTACCACGTACCAACTGGTGAGCAAACCATATACCCCCATATGGTGACCATACCACCAATCATACAGCATAACCCCAATCATTGAGTGTACTGCATACCACCAATCAATGAGCATACCACCAATAATAGAGCGTACAGCATACCACCAATTGGTGACCATACTACTAATCAGAGCGTCACCCCAATCATTGAGCATACTACACACCACCAATTAGTGACTATACAACCAATGAGCATAACCCAAATCATAGAGTGTACTGCATAGTGCATACCACAAATATATGACTATACCACCAATCAATGACTGTATCCCCAATCATTAAATGTACAGCATACCACCAATCGGTGAGTATATAGCCTATGCCGAAGTGTACAGCATACCACCAATCAATGAGCATACCACCAATCATTAGGCAAACCATATACCACCACCATATGTTGAGAATACCACCAATTATTAAGTGTACTGCATACCACCAATCATTGTGCATAACCCCAATCATTGAGCATACTACATACCACCAACTGGTGAGTGTACCACGTAATCCCAATTGTTCAGCATTTCATATATCATTAGTCATCATACCACACATTCCCAATCATTGAGTGTACTGCATACCACCAATCACTGAGTGTAACCCCAATCATTGAGCATGCTATATACCACCAACTGGTGAGTATACCACGTTATCCCAATGGTTGTGAATTCCATATACAGTATCAATTGGTCAGCGTACCACGTATTTGCAATCATTGAGTGCATTGCACACCACCAATTGGTGAATACACCACATAACACCAATCATCGAGCATAACCCCAGTCACTGAGCATACTACAAACCACCAACTGGTGCGTATACCACATAATCCCAATTGTTCAGCATTCCATATATCATCAATTAGTGACCAAACCACCAATCATCGAGCATACTATATACCACCAACTGGTGAGCATGCCATATATCAATTGCTGAATATACCACACATTCCTTCTCATTGAGTGTATGGCTTACCACCAATTAGTGACCATACCACATATCGTTATGCGTACCCCCAATTACTGAGAGCACACATTTGCCACTCAATAAGCATTCCACCAATCAGTAAGCATAACATGTACCACCAATCATCGAGCATACTCCCAATCAATAATCACATCATTTTCCACCAATTAGTGGAATACATACCCTCTAATCAATAAGTCTACCACATACCCCCCTTGTAGGCACGTACCACCAATTAGTAAGCATGCCACGCATCACCATTTGTCGAGTGTACCCCAAATAATTGAGCGTAACATTTTCCACCAATCAGTAAGGAAACCACATACTCCCCCAATCAGTGAGTGTACCACGAAACCCCCCCAAGTGGGGAGCACAGCACTAACCACCAGTAAGTATACGGCGTACCACCAATCAGTAAGCATACCACGTACACCCCAGTCATTGAGTGTACCACCAATCGGTAAACGTACCGCTGGTGAGTGCACACGACTTTACAGAAACACTTTGCTGCCACCAATGCTCAATCGGTAAGCAGACCACATGGTGAACACAGTACAAACCACCAATCAGTAAACATGGGCGTAGCACCACGTACCCCCAGTCATTGAGTGTATCGCCAATGGTTAAACGTACCACCGGTGAGCTCACACAGCTTCCAGAAGTAGGTGGTGGAGTGAGAAATAGCTGAAATATCATTGTTGGTTGGACTGCCAAGGGAACCTCCTACCCGTTATGCAGGTGAATAGAACCCACACTACACCGACTCCGACATGTACACACAAATATGGTTATCCTAAAAATGTGCAAAAACAAGGACACGCAAGCGTAGTAACCCATAGCAACCAATCACATTTTAGTTTAGACTGATCTGTTAGCAGTTCAGTTTTGCCTGGTTGCTATTGGTTACCACATCTGCCATTATAATTCTCTGCACCGCCTCACCGATAAGACCACTCAGTGCTAAAAAGCAAAAGGAAGGGTTGTGCCGGTTACCCACGGCAACCAGATTCCCACCGTCCTTCCTTCCTTCCTTCCTATGATTTGTATCACTCCATTTCCACACACCGGAAACCTATTACACTTCTCACAGGGACATCAAAGCAGCTCAATGAGAGCAAATCTTCACCTACACAACCCCCATCTCACCTATACCGAAAACTGGACCATCCAGCCCAACGCATTTCACTATGTATACTGCAAACACAACAACTTGCCTGACAGGCGTGACCCCACTGCATACATACGACGAGCAAAGCAAACAATGACAGGGACCCTTTGCAGGCATGATGCATTGGCCATCATTACTTACTTGATGTAGTATCGGGCCCCCTCGAAGGTGTACGCCTCCTCCCATCCTGTGGGCAAATCTGCAAGAGAAGACAAATTACAGCATTATATTAAGAGCATCTAGCACGGGCAGAGAGAGCGAGAGAGGGGCGCGCGGGCAGAGAGAGCGAGAGAGGGGCGCGCGGGCAGAGAGAGCGAGAGAGGGGCGCGCGGGCAGAGAGAGCGAGAGAGGGGCGCGCGGGCAGAGAGAGCGAGAGAGGGGCGCGCGGGCAGAGAGAGCGAGAGAGGGGCGCGCGGGCAGAGAGAGCGAGAGAGGGGCGCGCGGGCAGAGAGAGCGAGAGAGGGGCGCGCGGGCAGAGAGAGCGAGAGAGGGGCGCGCGGGCAGAGAGGGCAAGGGGCGCGCGGGCAGAGAGGGCAAGGGGCGCGCGGGCAGAGAGGGCAAGGGGCGCGCGGGCAGAGAGGGCAAGGGGCGCGCGGGCAGAGAGGGCAAGGGGCGCGCGGGCAGAGAGGGCAAGGGGAGCAGAGAGCGAGTGGAAGGGGCACAGCGGCAGAGAGCGAGTGGAAGGGGCACAGCGGCAGAGAGCGAGTGGAAGGGGCACAGCGGCAGAGAGCGAGTGGAAGGGGCACAGCGGCAGAGAGCGAGTGGAAGGGGCACAGCGGCAGAGAGCGAGTGGAAGGGGCACAGCGGCAGAGAGCGAGTGGAAGGGGCACAGCGGCAGAGAGCGAGTGGAAGGGGCACAGCGGCAGAGAGCGAGTGGAAGGGGCACAGCGGCAGAGAGCGAGTGGAAGGGGCACAGCGGCAGAGAGCGAGTGGAAGGGGCACAGCGGCAGAGAGCGAGTGGAAGGGGCACAGCGGCAGAGAGCGAGTGGAAGGGGCACAGCGGCAGAGAGCGAGTGGAAGGGGCACAGCGGCAGAGAGCGAGTGGAAGGGGCACAGCGGCAGAGAGCGAGTGGAAGGGGCACAGCGGCAGAGAGCGAGTGGAAGGGGCACAGCGGCAGAGAGCGAGTGGAAGGGGCACAGCGGCAGAGAGCGAGTGGAAGGGGCACAGCGGCAGAGAGCGAGTGGAAGGGGCACAGCGGCAGAGAGCGAGTGGAAGGGGCACAGCGGCAGAGAGCGAGTGGAAGGGGCACAGCGGCAGAGAGCGAGTGGAAGGGGCACAGCGGCAGAGAGCGAGTGGAAGGGGCACAGCGGCAGAGAGCGAGTGGAAGGGGCACAGCGGCAGAGAGCGAGTGGAAGGGGCACAGCGGCAGAGAGCGAGTGGAAGGGGCACAGCGGCAGAGAGGAAGGGGCGCAGAGAGCGAAATGTGAGGAAAAGACAGCCGGGCCAAGAACCAGCAAATTGGGGAATTGTGAGGAAGGTGGAGAAAGATAAAAAGGTAACAGATGAAATGAACCCTACAAATGTGTTCTGGGCATAAAACGTAATACGGCCGATATATAGGACTATTCACTCAGCTGGCCCCCACAATGCGCACTTCACGCAGACTCCTCTAAGCCGCCATATTTACAGAGGACATGAGCAGTAAACACAAGCGGCCTCACATATGAAGAGAGCCATCTGCGTCTGCACTGAACGCAGTCCAAAGGAGTGGAATGGCGGCCAATTATGACTCGCCGCAGACGGTCTGGATATGCTGCGACTGGCAGGACGTCTGATCAGACAGCGAGGATGGCGGTGACAGTAAAATGCGAGGGCAGGGTGTCACCTCCTAACTCATCACCAATCAGTGACTGGCCGACCGCCAACGCCAGGCACCTCACACCGCCGGCGCTTCCCTACATGGCCCACATTAAAGGCACAGCTCCCTGAATTCACTGTAAATATTTATACTATTATCTGTGTTTGCTGGGGCGAAGCGCGGTCACTGCACTACGTCAACTGATACAAATTATCTCCGAGGATTCTTATAATCTCCAGTCTGGGGATGAAAACACCTATTTATTTCTGTAACATTCCTCTACCTGCTGACACACGCTCAGTATTCATATGACGACGTCTGTGCTGATCCCTGCAGGTCCCTACATCCCGATATCAATATATCAATATCCTGACACTCGGGAGAAATCCGCTGGAGAACAGGCGTACCTTCCAAATGTCTTCCCTTCACCATCTGCTGAACACTGACAAATGACACCAAGACCTACACCGAGTACACCGACCCAGCACCCTGACACCGAGCACACAGAATGACCTACACCGACCCAGCACCCCTACACGGAGCACACAGAATGACCTACACCGACCCAGCACCCCTACACCGAGCACACAAGGACCTACACCGACCCAGCACCCCTACACCGAGCACACAAGGACCTACACCGACCCAGCACCCCTAAACCGAGCACACAGAATGACCTACACCGACCCAGCACCCCTACACCGAGCACACAAGGACCTACACCGACCCAGCAAACCTACGCCGAGTACACCGACCCAGCACCCCTACACCGGGCACACAGAATAACCTACACTGAGTTCAATGTAGTAAAAGACGGCAGTGTGATGATGTTACAAATGGTTACTCATGATCTTGGCAACCTTGCTTCTTCTAGTACACACGCTGCTTACATGTGAAACAGTTTTATAAACGTTCAATGGATGATAATATAAATGCCCAGCCCCTGGTGGCCGGCGGAGGCTACGCTGCCCAGCCCACGTGGCCCGCAGAGGCTACACTGCCTAGCCCCTCCTGGCCAGTAGAAGGTTCGCTGCCAGGTCTCTGGTGCCTAATAGAAGATAACCTGCCCAGTCCCTGTCCCCAGTAGATGATGGGCTGCCCACTCTCTGGTGCCCATTAGAGGGTGCCTGGTTCTTGGCACCCTACGGAGAGAACAACGTCCGATCCTGATATTTGGTTCCTGGTATAAACAGAAAATGATATGGACTAATATCCCTGGTGTCGGGTGGAGAGTACATTACCCGAATCCTCACAGCCAATGCTAAATACACTGTGGTAGTATCCTGTCTGGTTTCCAGCCAGGGCTCCTGCTTATATTTCCAAGTCCCTGGAGTCCCTTAAAATGTTTCTGCCAGTCCAGAGCTAATTCCATTGCGTTCCTGAGCCCCAGAAAATGATTTTTCCAGTCCAGAGGTAAGTACATTGTGCTTCCGAGTCCCTTAAAATGTTTCTGCCAGTCCAGAGGTAAGTACATTGCGTTCCTGAGCCCCAGAAAATGATTTTTCCAGTCCAGAGGTAAGTACATTGTGCTTCCGAGTCCCTTAAAATGTTTCTGCCAGTCCAGAGGTAAGTACATTGCGTTCCTGAGCCCCAGAAAATGATTTTTCCAGTCCAGAGGTAAGTACATTGTGCTTCCGAGTCCCTTAAAATGTTTCTGCCAGTCCAGAGATAAGTACATTGTGCTTCCGAGTCCCTTGAAATGTTTTTACCAGTCCAGAGGCAAGTACATTGTGTTTAAGAGTCCCTGGAGTCCTTTAAAATGTTTCTGCCAGTCCAGAGCTAATTCCATTGCGTTCCTGAGCCGCAGGAAAAAAACATTTCCAGTACAGAGGTAAGTACATTGTATTTCCAAGTCCCCGGAGTCCAGAGATAAGCTGCCATTTTCTAGTGTCCATTGCGAAAAACCTACTGCATAGTTCCAGGAAATTGTAATGTGCAATCCTGACAGTCCAGAGTGCACTGCGAAGCCCCGAAGAACACTAACAGGATGATTCTCCCCAAGGGAAAGGAGGACTATTCAGCTCTTGACAGTCCGCGTGGGAGAAAATATGATCAATTCCTGGAGCCAAATGGT